GACATCTGACTTTTTTTTCTGTCTTTAAATGAAGGGTGTGCAAACTTTTAGGCACAACTGTATATATACTATTTCACTTGGCAAGAAAATGGGATCGTGGATTAGGCTACGTTCGCTATAGTTCGTGCAGATGAGGGGAAGGCGCCAGATTTTTTTTTTCACAAGTCCCCTTTAAAATTGAATGAAACGTTTATTAAGACTAATATTTTAATGTATATTTTATAATAGAAAAGACATGGGAATGCCCCACAGTGTCCTTGTTACCTTCTCTCTGGTGTGCGCAAAAGCTTCCCCTGCGTACTCTGCGCAGTGAGACAGGGTTGTATGCTCTATGAAGGGAAATGCATCTTCAAAAAGTTTCCGTCACTTTGAAAATCTCAGGATGAGCAAAGAGCAATTAAGGTATATGAGAGCTGTTTGCCAATCTTTGACAAAGGGAAATTAATCTGAATTGACTCGTTGGTTCTAAGCATTTACGCTCCACCAAAATAAAAAAGGCAGTCCTGTAAAATACCAACGAGACCGAAGGAGGAAGATTGGTGTTTTAGTCCTGTGATCAGCCCCGCTCCAATAACCCCGAATGTGCTCTTTATTTGCAGTTTATGTTACTTCTGCTTTTATTTTTAAGTAACAGTTTGCCAGGTAATTGATGGTGCGCTCACACCGGAGGCCGTGGCAACGCCGACTGCGGTGGATTCACAGTCCCTTTTCCAACCGAGCGGCTAGCGGTAAACTCCACGCGGTGAGAGCTTTCACTGCTCCTCCCTCACGTCGTGCTACTACATAGTGCTGAGGTGTTGTCAAACAACAACCCCACAAGGAGAGAGAGGATCAGCTGTCGCAGAATTTGAAAAAATCTATGAAATCGCGACACGACAGCCAGTTGAGGACTGTTTGCAGGTGAAGCTTTATTCGCTTAAAATAGAACACAGAAAAAATAATGTTTTTAAAAAAGTTAGAAATGAGAAATGCTCTGAAGAGGTATTTAGGTCGCTTTAAAAAAAGCTGTTTTAATTTAGTCCGAGAAGCACTGTTAATCGTCCTCGTTAACCTCCAGCAAGGAGCCCGCTCTGTCACTGCACAATGCCAAGCACCTGTGCTATCTAAGGGGGAAGATAGAGGGAAGTCCCACCGAATCAGAGCTGTGTCTGGATAAACCAAAGTGGACTTTTATTTTCTGAGCTTTTATAGCTTATTAAAAAATGGTCTCCCCAAGGCAATTCAAAAGTTTTTATAAGGAATAATTTAGCGTTAATCCATGACGTTAAGTTTTACCTGTGCTCTTATTGTGAAATGGCGACTGACAGCTGGACCTTGACAGAAAATTACATGGCTGCCAGGGGTACCGAAAGCTCAAAAGTAGAGGTTCTGGAAGGCTGGTGATTTACTAAATAGTGAATAATCATTTCAGCCACTAAATAAGGTCAACATTTCCTCTGTTTT